ACGGACTTAGAAAATAAAAATCCATGAAAACAGGTATTTTTTCTTTAAGATTATGAAATATGGAATCATAATATATTTTTAGATATTTGAAGCTTTTGATGTCATTGACCATAACATCTTTCACTCAAAATTACTTTTATATGGAATTCCTGGTATTGCTCGAGAATGGATAACCACAAACCTTAAACAACGCTCACAAAAAATATGAATACTGTACTGGCATGAAAAAACATTACCTTTAATCTTTCCAATTATTTGCCGATTGATCAGGGAGTCCCACGGGGTTTGATCTTAGGTCCTATCATCTTTCTTTTATGTAAATGAAATGCCCTCATCCATTAAAAATGAAGAACAGTTCTGTTTTTGATGACATGAATGTTCTCTGCAAAAAAGGAGCAATAACTATAATGCAATTTCAGAAGTTTCGAATTGATTTTGTAATAACAAATTAATAGTCAATGAAGGAAAGACAGTTTCAATGAAGTTTTGTATTTCAAACCAGTAGTATCATGCTCCATTGAAAATATACAATATGCCATTAGGTAACAAAATGATGATGATGATGATGAATTTGATGTTAGAGTAACAAAGGTTAGTGAAATGGAATGAAGTGTTTCTGGGTTAGTGAAATGGAATATCCATATAACTGAAAATAACACTAAATTAAGTTCATGGTGTTACACATACAGAATTCTTTCAAGTTGACAGGGTTCTTGTGTGTATTTTGCAAATTTACTTTTCCGTGTGAGATATGGCATAATATTCTGGGGAAGCTCATCCTACAGTACCCAGACTTTTAGGTTCTGAAAAAATTATTTGAATAATAAGGAAATGCCATTCACATGATTCCTGCAAGCCTCTCTTTATTGAGCTTGGAATCTTACCATTGCCTTGCCTATTTATTTATGAATCTGTAGATATTGTCAATCTTCAATCTTGTAGTTGTAGGAACACCCCCAAAAATTTAAACTTTTGCAACTTTTTCAGAAATCCAGAGTTATCCGTGAAAATTGGACCTATGCCACCTTTACAAGTGTATTTTACTCTAGAAATTTAATGAAAAAATTTGGAGCCATTTTTGAGGAAATTTTGAAAATGTTCTGGTAACAAAATTATGACACTTGGACACAAAATGACCATAGGCCTTGGCTTTACGTAAAGTACCTCCAACTGTTGAAGAAAGTTTTTCTAAAATTGCTGCCACCAGATCGACTAGAGAATATCGATTTTAGAAAAAAATTCTACGTAGTTCAGGTGCTAGTGGTGTTTACAGAGGGACAGACATTCGGGAAAAAAAACACTTTTTTGGTGTCAGGGGACCTCAAAACATGTATTTCTATTGAAATCTTGAAATCGATTTTCCACAGCATTCCATAACTTTCTCCATACTTCTTTTAAAAAACTTTGCTCTGCATAGTGAATTCCAATAGATAAATGCTTATCAGGTGGAGGATACCATGTGATTTTCTGGACCATTTATGTTGATTGCAAAGGAATGAGGAACGTTTCACATAGGAAATTGTTTCAACTTCTCTATGGGAATTCTGCCATTCCTTATCGATGCAAACTGCAAAATAAAAAGTGACGTTCATCTGTCTAGGATACAGATTCCCAATGTTTTTGTGTCACTGGCCCGCTCAAAAGAGTGGTTTGATTTAGGAACCCCTGTGCATTTTTCACAAAATAAAGCAAAGCTAATATTCTTGGCCCGAATAATGACCTATAAATGAGTTTCAGATAATTTAAAGAACAAACTTGAAAAGTTTTGAAAGTTATTAAAATTATGTTGTATTTTGATTCATACTATTATCTCTTTTAATTTTACAAATATAAACAAGTACTCAGAAGCAAACCACAGTTTCTAATTGCACTAAAGTTTGATTTTTATTCATGGGAATATTAAATACCAAAAGAGGACAACTTTGTACTTAATTATTAGATGAGAAGTGAGGGAAACTATTATTAAATATCAGAAAACAAATAATTCAGTATCTTATGTGAAGCCCTTAGGCCTTTTTTGTAAAATATCTTCTCTACTGCCCTTTGCTGTCTATACTGTCATTCCTTTCCTTTCGTTTGCTCTGTCATTGTGAGTGTTTTGCCAATTCTCTTTTCACTCAGGGGTCAAGTATTTTTTATATTTCCGCCTTGGTATTAGGTTTTCTTATAAAATTGGTTTTAAGTTATATTAGAAGGTGTTGTGTGCTAGGCTTAAAACTAAAATCTAAATGGTTTTAATGAGAGGTGAACCTGTGATGGTGAAAGTATCTTTTAATGTAAAATTAAAACACTGTAATGTAGTGTAAGGAAAGTTATAATGCTGCAGAAAATCAATTTTGAGATTTTAACCGAAATACAAATTTTGGTGTCTCCTGATACTGAAAGTGTTTTTTTTTTTTTTTTTTTAAATCATCCGTCATTTTGTCTCTCTATATGGGTACGTGAACGACACTAGCGCTTAAACTACGTGTTGGGTTTTTTCTAAAATCAAGAAACCCTTGTCCATTTGGCCTGAGTTGAAGGTCTGCAATTTTGAAAATTATTCATTAGTTTCTCTGGGTACTTAACATGAGATCCCTAGGACATTTTCAAAATTTTCTCAAAACTGTCTCCAAATTTTTTCTAAGAAAATAGTAAAATATAGTAATATAGTATTGTTATTTATAGCATATATTCATGATATTTGGCAGGAATGAATAAAAAATATGACTTTTTGCTGATGCAGATTGTATAATGTATCGGGAAATTAAAGACACACGTGATAGATAAATATGTCAGGCTGATTTAGATAGGCTTGAATCATGGGCTACCACAAATGAAATGAAATTAAATCCCAGCAAGTGCAAGTTTATCAGATTCACGCATTCTAGAAAGACAGAGGGCTAAATGCTGTAAATATTTGGGATTTGTACTAAATGAGGATCTGGGATGGGCAGAAAATGTAAATTATGTAGTGAAAAAGGCGTGGAAGACATTACACTTTGTGATTGGAGTGCTTAGGAAAGGATGTAGAAAATCAAGGGAATTAGGGTACATATCTCTAGTATGGCCGATATTGGAATACGGCTCCATATGTTGGGGCCCATATCGTTTAGGACAAATAAAATCTCTCGCAAAAGTACAAAAATATGCCGCAAAATTTGTTAGAAGAGGACATTCTAATTCTGAATTTATATCTTGGGAACCCTTGGAACAATGCAGAGAGAAATCGTGTATTTGTGAGTTATGCAAATCAGTATGAGGTGATCGTCCATGGGGGGGAAGTGCGGGCAAGATTATTAAAACCCGCATACATTGTGCAAAAGGATCATAGTTCTAAAATTCAACAAAGAAAACAGAGAAGTAGGTAAATTCTCATTTGTAAACTGAACAAAACAAAATTGGAATGAATTGCCTGCAACAGTGCATTTAGACTTTCCCTCAGAAAGTGAAAAGTTTTAAAATTACATTAAATAAATTGTAATTTTTTTAGTGTATGTTAACATTAAAAAAAAAAATTATGATTGTTATTTTATGTCAGCTTTAGCCTGATAGGTTTAATGTCTTAATCTTGGAAAATTGTATTAAGTAATATGTAAATATTTTAATGTTCCTTTGATTGTGTGTGTTGTGTATTTATAGTAACTACTTAGAAAATGCTACTACCGAAAATATTCCATATATTCCTAAGTAGCAAAATAAATATTCTATTCTATTCTATTCTAAAATACAATTATAAAGGTGGTATAGGTCCGATTTTCACAGTTAATTCTAAATTTTCGAAAATTGCAAAAGTTTGTTTTTTTGGGTGTCTTCCTACAACTACAAATTAAGGATAGAGATTTTTCCTTGAAATACAATTTGTTGTTCATAATTTCTTTCATTAATGTCATGTACATGTTTTTGAAGATTTTAGTAGTTTTAGCACAATATTGCATGCAATTTGTGCAATTTTTAAAAATTACAAAAACAAGTTTTTCTCAAAAATGGTTCCAAATTTTTGCTTTAAACTTTTGGTAGGGATTGTGATAATGCACTTTACAAGGACCCCTAACTACACTACAAATTACAAAAATGTAATTTTTTTTACTTGTCTCTTGGGTCATTAATATTTACATTAGTGCCAATTATTACATTAGTGCTTTAAATGAGGTCATATAAAGTTTCTTGAAAGCTTAATAGTTTTCTCTCGAAACTACCTCAAAATTTTGCATTTTCAGAAAAGCACGAATGCCATTTTCTCAAAAATGGCTCCAAATTCTTTCTTCAAACTTTTAGAAAGGATAGTGCTAATTGCACTCTTTAATATGAGGTAAAGTTCATTTCGTTTTTGTTTTTTCAATGAATGATTTCTCACACCGTTAATAAGCACATTTCCAGCAATTTGAAATCACTATTGTATTTATGAGTTAAATTGCTTCAAATGACTACAAATGTTTTTGGAAAACTCAGAAATTTTCTCTGAAAAGATCTTCAAATTTCGAATGTTCAGTAACGCTTAAACACCAGTTTTTTTAAAAGCAGCTCAACATTTTTCCAGAAAAAATTGCCATTTAGGGTAAGGTTTTAATGTTTTTTAATAATATGACAATATTTCCGCTCTACAATTAGGAAACCGAAAAATTAAGAATGTTTCAAAAAAGTGTACTTTGGGCAGTGGTAGATGGCAGTAGGCAAGAGTATGTGGCTAGTGTGAATAGCTATCTGAGACCAAAGGAAATGAAAAATAATGCAGGAAAGTCTGTGCCGTTCTGTAGTACCACTGGTTTCTTTCTTAATTTGTTACCTTGTTTGCCAATGCAGCATTTCTCTATTCCATATCTTGTTTTGAAGTAGAAATGAATTAGCTGTTACCATTGTTATACCAAGATACCATTGGTGTGATAGACAAAAAATAACTTGAAGCAGTGCATACTTTTTGGGTATCAGTTTGAGAACGTTTTTTTCTTTCCACAAATATTAGTTCCAGTTAAATGAAGATCTCTTATGAAAGTGTAATTACTTTCTATCTTTGATTTCAGGTTGGTTCACTCCACCAAAGGAAGATGGCTAAGTTCTTCCAGCCTTTTGGCAGGCCTGACACACGAGCCTAGAGACTGAGGAGCTTCGTGACGCTAATGCGGGTTCCATTCATCAAAATCTGTTCTTTTTTTTTTCCCTTTTTTTTCTTTTATTTTTTTTAAAAAAAGACGAGAAACTTATGCTAAGAAGTGGATGTTCTGTGTGTCTGGACCATGCTACAAGTGTGTTAGTTTTGTTGACGTTAAGTTATATAAGAAGCAATGTTTCTAGCTTCGTGTTTAAGGCAGTACGTCGCACACAAGACATTTATTTAAATGTGGTGATTTTGTTAGGGAAATGTATAATAAACAGTTCGGAAAGTGACATATTTCTGTCATCATAGCATTTCTTTTACTTTCCTTTTACTTTGTGTTGTTGATGAAAGGGACAATGTAACTTAGGTTGTCCTGTGTCATCTTCATTGTAAAAATGTTAATAAGCATTCTTATTTGGTATGTGGAAAAAATTTTAAGGATACTCTATCTTCTCTCTGAAGTTATGAAGACATAATGTAGAAGGACAATACAACTTTTTTTAGCAGGGAAGAGGTGAAGTTTCTGTAACATTGATCCTGTCAAGACATTCCAAAAGTCTAAATGGCAGCAAGTGTGTTGGATGTTTCAACGTGGAGCTGAAAAATATTTTGCATAAGTTTTCATCGAATTGAAATATATTTCTGCTATCAAGTTATGATCCAGACAAAGACCGATAAAATTGAAAGTGGCACTTATTGTTTTATTAACTAAAAAGAATTTGTTAGTGAATTTGTGGATGTGGTGAGTGCATTTTTCCCTTACACGCTATCTAATAAATTTTTTTTGTTAAATTAGCTACTTGTAAACTGCAAAACTGTTAGACGTTGGGTCACAAACAATTAAAAATGTCCCTAATGTTAACAAATTACTACAACTCTGCAAGTGCAGTTAAACAAGAACCAAAAAAGAAGATGTATATTGTGCACTTTTTTGTTTCATAATTACAATGTCATGTATGAAACTTTCTATGAGCCAGGTATGTGGTTCTTTTGAGTCTTTGGAAAAAAAGGTCTAGAATGTAAACTAGCAGAATATACACCTACTTTCTGCAAACAAAAAAAAAAAAAGTGAAGTAGTTGTAAGTTGCTTTGTAAAATTGCAATTCTTCCATTATGTGCTCAACTGATAAGGCATCTGTGGATTTGGGATGATTTCTAGCCAACTTAACTAGTTGACTATGTCTTGAGAGCCAGTATACGTCCGTTGTAGCAGTTTAAATTTTTTATTTTCTTTCAATTTGCACAATCCTTTTTTATACATTGTAAAAGTAGTTGGTAAAATAAAGCTTAATGATTTGTTTAAAGCTTTAGTTTCCACCGTTACTGATGGGAGGAATAAATCTGTTATGTGCTGAAGAAAGCTCATTATCTGTAGTTTCATTAATGTGGTATGTGCTGTGTGTGTATAATACTAAGCCTCATTTATTCATATTTCTTAATACTTATGCTCGACCAAAAGCTGGAATATAAATGATTCATGTTTGCAGTGATCAGCTTAGATTATTCTAAAATAATTTGGAATTCAACAGTGTAGCATGCCTAATCACAATACGGTGTGCTTTTTCAGTGAAAATAATGATCACTGAAAGAGTTTTAAATTTTCTGGCAGGTCAGGGACTCGCAATGATGATCTGTTTAATCCATAATATATGTTATAATCTTGCAACACAAAATCAGACCAACATACTGTTTCATTTTCTGTATTGTTTATACTTTAAAAGTAGTGTCGGAAAATAAAGATTTTTAGAATAATTTTGAAGGTGACTGTGTTTTAGAAAAGTGTGATGCCTGCTTCCACAAGCTAATGAGTCTTGAGTAATCAATGCAAGAACTTGTCTGCAAGTTCTACTTCTAGATTTGCTCTCTGCCTTTGACAACATAAAACAATGTCGATTTATATTTACTAGTAATGCAATATCAAATCTAAGGAAAGCAAAAATATTCTTGTGGAGTATCCAGTGTAGAATGAAAAGAGTAACATTCTTGAATGAACATTACTGGTGAATTTTCAACAGCCTAGAATTATAATTTTGAGGAAAGATAAGTTGGTAATTCATTTTGCTGTCCTTCACACTTCAGCAAAAGCAATTTTGTAATAGTTATGTAGATAACTACATAAAATAGTATTAAATTTCACTTAAAAGTTATAATCGAATGCTATGCAATGTAATGTCTCAAAATATAATTCTAGGCTTCATTAATCTTCTCTCAGCATTGTTTTAGTCAAAGTACATTCTTTTGATCAAGTTGTATTGGATCTGTTTGCTGATCTATTTTTGAAGAAATGGTTTGTTTTGGGGTATTAATGAATGTGAATACCCACAATGAACATGCTTCTGAAGTGTATAATCCTTTCTGAATGAACAGACTAAACATACGACAGACAGATTTTTTCCAAGTAGTACTGTCTTGTCTATGTTTCAAATGAAAAGTAATCCACTTGAGTTAACATTTCATTTTGATTATGTAGTATCTGTGTGAAATTTAAATTAGGAAAGTTCATTTCCAATACTTATTTAATTATTTTCAATTCTAGGAAAATGGGTTACACCAGTGAAGAATATTATAACTCACATTTCCAGTGAGGATGATAGGCATTGTTGGAAAAAATGTTCATGTAGTGTTAAGTTTGGTTAAACTCATTTGTAGGTATTGTGTGATCAGTTGATTTGTTGCACTGTTGTTTGATGTGAATACAATATTATGTTGATCACCAATGCTATATATTGATTGTATAGTCAAAAAAATTAATTTGAAATTGAATTTCTGAAATTCTGTTTTCATATGTAATATCTATTATTTTAGTATATTCTCCATCTGCCTGGTGTCTTCCAGATTAATTTTCTTTGTAAATTAATTTGTTCTTTAAGGGTGTGTAATTGAAATTATGTAACCCAAAATTATTATTCTTAAAAATGTGCTTCAGAGAAACAGTTCTGCTTAAGTAATAAATTTTATAAATCTTACCTTTTCAGGACTGCACATTGTGTGATATTGGAAAATATCTTGAATTAACTAAAATCATTGCAGTGTAATGTGCCAATCACAGCATTTAGTGTAGAAATTCATCAGTGAATGTCTGATGTATTCAGAAGGTGTATATTAGTAGTATCAGAGGGGAAATTAATGCAACTTACGGGAAAATTAATTCTTGCTGTGAAGGACACTTATTTTCTTCTTAGGTATATTGCATGTGAAAACGTATCATAAACAATTTTAACTTTATTTAGTTTAGCAAGGGTTTATGGAAAATCTTTTATTTGATGTTATTACTGTTTGTATTATTTAAACATATATTTGTGTTTGTGAATACTGAACACTTGTGAGTTATCAGAAAACGCTGTATGTTATGCCTGACTTCACTTAATAGTTATTGAATATTGATAATTATGTTTGGTGTTAGTTCATAAGTCACCATGATGTTCATAAGGATGTTATGATGGTTAAAATGGCTGTTTAGATTTTGATTAATTAATGCATGAAAAACCCTCTGGCAACTAATTGACATGGGGCCAGTATTTGTGCGTGCCATGGTCCTTGGAAAGTTGTGTGTAATTCCACCACTGTGTCCTATTGCATAGGAACAGGAAAATAAAAACAAATATACCTCCTGTTGACATTTAAAAGCACTGTCTCATCTTTCAAATTTGCTTATCTCTTACACATGACTCCTTACTGACTTATGCTTAAGGGCAAGTAAGATTCAAAACATAACAATTAATTTTTTGCAAAAGTATGGTGAGACAGTGTGGAATTATCTCACCAATATTATTGCATGACTGAGTTCCTAGTTCTGGGTATTGCCAAATATTCTGGGTACACATTATTAGAATTGACCCTGCATTTTGTTCCTGTGAAGGGGATAGAGTGGTTTTGGGGGAAATAGATAATTTTTCAGAGGGTTTCTTAGGTGTTTCTATTCTGGGTGAACAATATTGCACATAAAAAGGCCGGATATGTTTTAGTGCTTACTGATACATACATTTGTAGTTTGAGTTTGCATTTCCAGGCTGTTAGAAACTCAGTCATTCCCTTGGCTTCTGTGAAGTTGGTACTACCTGTGGATAGTAGAGCCCTTCCAATCTGGTTTTACAGGCTCATGAGATTCTTGTATTTGGCTCCAACTTCTGCAAGGTCTGCAATTACTGATTAGTGTTCCAGTGAATTTACTGAGCAGTAACAATATTTAATAGTAACATTGGATCGTACATGTTCTAGGTGACCTATACAGGCAATGGGATTCAGCAGATTCTAGCGTTTGTGTGAATATTTCTTGTACATAGATGAATCCATTTGAATTCATCTGTGAAGAAGAAGAAGAGAGAATAATAAAGAAATTTGGTTTCATCATAGACATTTAGATAACTTTAGTGTTAACTTGTATTTCACTAATGTAAATTACTTAAAGAATGTCTCAAATTCTAGAAATAAAAGTTAACATTGGAGCATCTTGGTGTTTTACCATCTTTTGTCACACAGAGGAGGACTGAAATGATGAAGATCGTGAAACCTGCAGAAAAAGCATTGTACAGAGTACTTTTTATATGAATTATCTTCTCATAATACATCTCTACCATTTGTATATCCATGTTTAAATTATTAGATTTGTTACTATCTTTTAATCGGTTTTGTGAATAATTTTTCAGTTTGTGAATCAAGTGTTAGTTGACATGTTTCACAAATTGCAATTTCTTTTGGAAGACTCAGGTTATCTTCTCTCAGTTTTGTAAATTATGGGTTGTGTTGGCAGTGAAATAGAATATAAGAAAATCTTTTGTGTAACTCACTTCATCCTCATCCTGTATCCTTCAACTTCTTTAGAAATTTGTACCATTAAGAGATAGATAAAGAATCTTTAAAATGTTGCAGAAGGTCAAAATAATGTTCCAAAATTTTGTTTTGTTTTTAAAACAATGCTCTCCCTTTCCCCCTCAGTAACAAGTTTCAACACTGACATTTAATTGCCAATGCTCCCTTATTGTTTTTAACAATTGCGTCATTATTTTCATAAACGCGTGAGAATGAAAGCCTTAAGAGTGCAATTAAATTTTCAATCGTGTGCATATATACAGTAGCTTTTCCCACTGTGTTCCCAGCTGATAACTGCTGGCGCCTGAAAGACCGACACGGCCTCTCGCGGGACCTACAGCTTTTTATGGGAACATTCTATCGAAGAGCACTAAGTTGCTCCAGAACATCGATAGGAGAGTCGACCCGTATGCCCTACTTGTCAATGGTAGTTTGTGACTTCATCTCGGTGCTTACGACTTTGTTCTGAATGTAGGGATCCTCATCCTCAATTACACACAGTTTTCTGTTAGAGATTTTGGAAGGATTAGAGTATAGATTAAAACATGAAAGACTCGTAATGCTCTTCACACCATTCAAGCATTGAAAATGTCCAAGATTTACTCGGTTTCGAACCCGAACCCCTCAATGTTAACGTACTTGGGCTCACCTGCCCCAAGCTCATGATGAATTACGAGACTGTTTGTAAACGTGATGCGGTTACGTAACATTCTAATTTAATAAAATCATTCAAACTCCTTTTAATGCATATGCGATTTTTAAAAACCTTATACCAGGGGTGGTGACAAGGTTCCCCGCCGCGTTTCCCCCTTTTTCCTTAGGTAAGTAGTTACTGTTTCGTCAATTTAGGACTTTCGTTATTAGAACCTCTCTTAAATATGACGAAAAATTCATTTCTGTGTATCTTACTGGTGTTTAAAAAATCACTCATATGTACTTTCTCGAACTATCTCTCACGCCGTTAATAAACTCATTTCTATCAATTTCTAATCAATAATTTTTAAAGTGCTTTAAAACACGTCAAATGAAGTTTTTCGAAAACAAAAATTTTCTGTTAAAAAAAATTTTAAAATTCGAATCAACAGTAGCGCTTAAAGCAGTTTTTAAAAACTTTTTCAGTAAAAATTGCGATTTAGAATGGTTTTTATAATATGAAAATAATATTCCTGCTCAACAATTAGGAAACCAAAAAATTAAGGAAATGTACTTTGGGCGGCGATAGATGGCAAGTCTGTGCCTAGTTTAATATTAAAAAAGCAAAGTATTGTTGGTTCTTTTTCCATCCCAATTTTGTGTGTCGCGAACAAAGAGTTCGAGAAAAGCATTTTTATTCGACGACTAACACGAGTATTATTGTGAAGTTTACTTTTACTTTCTCAGAAACTTCTTAAAAAGAGAAAATTATGTAATGCTGCGTGAAAAAACGACGAATTTTTGGCAGAAAAACTCACTACATGGCCCTAGTAAAGAAAAAGTAAAAACACTTGCTAAAATTAGAAAATTCGCTTCTAACTCGTGTTGTAACCAGAATTCTTGATTTGTAAGTCCTTGATCGCGAGTCTTCAATTGAATGCAAAACGACCCAACGAAAGAGAAAACAAATCTACGAACGAAGAAACTAACAAAACAAAGAACGAAAGAACCCACGAGCGAATGAACCCACGAACAAGCGATCAAACGAACGAATGAACAAACGAACAAACTAACGAATAAATCAAAGAACGATCGAACCAATTGTTCGTTCTTTGGTTTGATGGTTCGATCGTTGGTTTACTCATTCGTTTACTTGATCATTTGTTGGTTCGTTTGCTTTTCTGCCGTTGGTTAGTTCGTTGATTCTTCCGTTCGTTCTTTGATTCGTTCGTTTGTTCGCGCGATGGTTCGTACGTTTATTGGTTGATTGGTGTTTGTTCGTTCCTTGGTTCGTTCGTTCGTTCGTTGGTTCCTTCATTGGTTCGCACGTTGGTTCGTTCGTTGATCTTTTCTATCGATTGTTGGTTTGTTCGTCCACTCGTTCGTTGGATCGTTGTTGGTTTGCTCTTTGGTTCGTTCGTTCTTTCGTTGGTTCTTTCGTTTGTTCGTTCGTTGGTTCGAGAGTTGCTTCGTTCATTTATAGCTTCGTTCGTTCGTTCGGTGGTTTGTTCATTTAGTCGTTGGTTCGTTCGTTCGTTAGTTGGATCGTTCATTGGTTCGTTCGCTGCTTCGTTCGTTATATTGTTCGTTAGTTCGTATGTTCGTTCGTTTGTTCGATCGTCCGTTCATTCGTTACTTCGTTCGTTGATTCGTTCAGTCGTGGATTCTTTCGTTGCTTAGTTCGTTCGTTTGTTCAATTATTCTTTGATTCATTCGTTCGATGCAAATTCGTTGCTTTATTCATTAGTTTGTTCAATGATTCGTTCGTTGGTTGGTTATTCATTGGTTTGTTCGTTTGTTCGTTTGTTCGTTCTTTCAACGGTTCGTTGGTTCGTTCGATAATTCGTTCGTTTGTTTTTTCGTTCGTACGTTAGTTCGCTGGTTCGCACTTCATTGGTTCATTCGTTCTTTTGTTGGATAGTTCGTTCGTTGGATCGTTCGTTCATTGGTTTATTCTATCGTTTATTTGCTCGTTCGTATTAAATTAGTTTGTTGGTTCTTCCGTTCTTTGAACGTTCTTTGGTACGTTCGTTTGTTCGAGCGTTTGTACGAACGTTCGTTTGGTGCGTTTGTTCGTTCCTTGGCTCGATCGTTGGTCCGTTCGTTTGACGGTTCGTTCGGCCAGTCGTTAGTGCTTTCGTTCGTTCATTCGTTCGTTGGTTCTTTCGTTTGTTCGTCCGTTGATTAGTTTGTTACCTTGTTCGTTGGTTTTTTCGTTGCTTCGTTCATTGGTTGGCTCGTAGGAGGTTCGTTCGTGCATGAGTTACTTTGTTCGTTTGTCGGTTCGTTCGTTCACTGGTTCGTTCATTCTGGATCTTCTTGGATCGTTCGTTGGTTCGCTCTTTGGTTCGTTCGTTGATTCGGTCGTTGGTTTGGTGGTTCGTACACTGGTTCGTTCATTCGTTTGTTCGATCGTTCGTTGGTTAGTTCATAGGTTCGTTGGTTGGTTATTCATTGGTTAGTTCGTTCGTTGGCTCTTTCTTTCAATGGTACATTCGTTTTTTCGTTCGTTCGTTCGTCGTGGATCGTTTGTTGGTTCGTTCGTTCATTCGTGGGTTCGTTCGTTTTCGTTCGTTCGTTAATTCGTTGGTTCGCACGTTAGTTGGATCATTCGTACGTATGTTGAGTCGTTCGTTGGTGCGTTCGTCGGTTTATTCCTTGGTTCGTTGGTAAATTAGTTTGTTGGTTCGTTCGTTGGTTCTGTTGTTGGTTCGTTCGTTGTTCTTCCGTTCGTTCTTTGATTCGTTCGTTTGTTCGTGCGTTGGTTGGAGCGTTTGTTCAATGGTTCCTTGGTTCGTTCGATGGGCCGTTTATCCGTTCATTTGTAGGTTTGGTTCGGTCAGTCATTGGTTGGTTCGTTCACTCGTTGGTTCGTTCGTTAGAGTGTTCGTTGGTTCGTTGGTTTATTCGTCGGATCATTTGTTGGTTCGCTCTTTGGTTCGTTCGTTAGTACATTCGTTGGTTTGTTTGCTTGTTATTTCATTTGTTCGTTGATTCAATCGTTAGCTCGTTCATTAGATCTTTTGTTGCTTCGTTCATTGGTTCGCTCATTGGTTCGTTCGTTGACCCGTTTGTCCGTTGATTCGTTCGTTTGTTGGTTCGTTCACTGGTTCGTTCTTTAGGCGTTGGTTCGTTGGTTCATTCGTTCGTTGGTTAGTTCGTTGATTCGCTTTCTTGGTTCGTTCGTTAACTGATTCGTACATTCTGTCGTTAGTTCGTTCGTTGATAGTTCGTTAGTTGGTTCGATAATTAATTTATTCGTAGTACGTTCATTGATCGTTCGTTCGTTGGTTCGTTCGTTGCTTCGTTCGTTTGTTCGTTGGTCCGTTCGTTGGTTCTTTGGTTCGTTGTTCAATCGGTCGTTCGTTGGTTCTTTCGTGGGATTTTCGTTTGTTCGTTCGTTCGTTGGTCCGTTTGTTCGTTCGTTAGTTCGATCGCTAGGTCGTTCGTTCATTGGTTCCTTCCTTCGCTGGTTTGCGCGATCGCTGATACGTTAATTCGTTGGATTATTCCTTCGTTCGTTAGTTGGTTCGTTCAATTGCATCTTCGTTGTTTCGTTCTTTAATTCGTTCGTTTGCTCGTAGGTTCGTACTTCGTTGGCTCGGTGGTGAGATCGTACGTTGGTTAGTTCGTTGGTTCGTTCGTTTATCCGTTCGGTAGTTCGTTTGTTGGTGCCTTCGATCAGCATTTTAGTTAGGTGTTTCGATCGTTGCATGGTTGATTAGTTTGTTTATTCATTGGTTCATTCGTGGATTCGTTCGTTTTTCTTTCGATGTTTGTTCGTTGGATCGTTCGTTCGTTCGTCGTTGGTTCACTCGTTCGTTGATTCGTTGGTTTCATTCGTTCGTTGGTTTTTTGATACGTTAGTTTGTTCATTGGTTCGTTCGTTGGTCCGTTCGTGCATTGGTTCGTTTGTTGGTCCGTGTGTTCGCTCGTTCGTGCCTACGTGGTCTTGTTCGTTCTTTCGTTGGTTCGTTCGTTGGACCGTTCGTGAGTTCCTTCGTTCATTTGTTGGTTCGTTCGTTTGTTTGTTCGTTGGTTGGTTCATTCGTTGGCTTGTGCGTTCATATGTTTGTCCGTTTGTTCGATGGATCTTTGGTTCGTTGGTTCGTTCGTTCGTCCGTTCGTTCGTTTGTACGTTCGATCTTTGGTTTGGGATCTTTGGTATTCATTCGTCGATTCATTCGTTTGTCGGTTTTTTCGTTGTTTCATTTGTTAGGTGTGTTTGTTTTGTCCATTCGTTGAATCCATGTATTCGTTTGTTCCTCTTTTTCGTTCGTTGGTTTATTTGTTTGTTTGTTCGGGCGTTCGTTCAGTTGTTCGTTCGTTGGTACGTTCATTAGTTGGTACGTGCGTTCGTTGGTTCGTTTGCTCGTTCGTTGGTTCCTTCTTTAGTTGAATCGTTACTTCGTTGGTTCATTCATCCTTAGTTCGTTTTTTTGTTGTTTCGATTGTTGGTTGATTCGTTCGTTCGTTGGTTAGTGGGAGCGTTGATTCACTTGTTCGTTAGATTGATCGATCGATAGTTCGTTTCTTGCTTTGCTTGTTCGTTGGTTCGATCGTTTGTTGGTTCGTTTGTTATTTTGTTCGT